ATATATATATATATATTACTTTTTAGGGATTGTTGTGGACTAAAAGGTGACTCTTATTTTTTTTTTTAATATGTAGGGGTCACTATGAGTTATAACTTTTTTCAATAAATTTTTTTTTGGGTTGCTGTGGACAATAACACCTTTTTTTTTCTTACATGTAGGGGATTGTTGTGGAATATAGTGTTTCCCATTAATATTAATTTTTTGTGGTTGTTTTTGGTTATAATGATCTCGATTAACTTTTTATTATTATTGTGCATTCTACTAATTAGAATGTACCACATGGTCTTAATGGTCAAACAAAAATTTTCAAGGATTGTTGTGGGTTATAGTGATTTTGGTTTAATTTTTTCTTTCATTGCACATTTTGTCAATTAAAATGTGTCATGTAGCCTTAATGGTCAAAAAAAAAATATTTGGGAACCATTATAGGCTACAATGACCCAAATTTAACTTTTTTTTTTTGTGTAGTTATAGTCCACAACAACACACAAAAAAAATAGTGTAGTTGTGGTCTACAACGACAAAAATAATATTATAATTATGGCCCACAACAATACACAAAAAAATTATTGTAATTATGACTCATAACTATATATATATAACTATCGACCTTTAGTAAAGTCAGCATATGTCGTTGTAGATTACAATGACTCAAGTTTAATGATTCATAAAAAATTGTCACTTGTCACAAATATTGTTATAATCTACAGTAATACGGTTTAAAACTGTTTCAAAGATGTAATATGTTTGAAAACAATCTCATTTACATAAACAATTTGTAAAAAAGTCTCACAAGAGTCAAAAAGTCCAACATTTTTTATAATTTACATATTGAGGAAGAATTCCTAAATTGTAACTCACCCACAAATAATTCAAAAGATTAAAGCTGACCATATTATACTAGAATTTAGAACTAAAACCATAGAAGTTTGGATGAAAATGTTGCAAAATTGAAATCAATACTAGCGCCAATCCCACCTTAAAGGAATAAATGACTCGCCTAGCTTCATCTTGTCAAGTTTCTTTATCATCTTTGTGTTGTCCAAAGTGGGAAAAGGCTCAAGATTGTGTAAGGCCTTAATGAAGCATATATATATATTGAAGTACAACCAGAACTCTTCTTAGACTTTGGCACTGAACGTTTTACATGCGACGACGGAAAAAATGGCGAACCGTTATTGGTGCATAAGCAAAGGGAAAATTTAAACCATTGTAAAGAAAATGAAGACCCAAATCAAACATATACAAGAGGAAAATGAATGACATTGAGATGTTGGTCAATTTGAAAATATTTTTCTCTTGGATTCGCTGAACTAGACAATTAACGAGAGTTTAAAAATTAGAGTCAGAATAAAAAATTAAAAAAAAGTTACTGAAATAACAACTTATAATAGATTCTCTAGATAAGTTTACTAAGAACCCATTTATAAAACACTTTCAAGTACAACCAATTTATAAAGTCTACTTAGGAAATTCACAGCAAAATTATTCATGTTAAGTACTGGAATCATATTTCTTTTAACTTGCAAATTCACTGTGAATATTGTAAAATTTCTTAATCAATGAATTTATTCTTTAATCTGGATGTTTCATTATATAGACTGTTTGATTTAACGTTGTGTCGCGTTGGAAAGCCAATAACCCATGCGAATGAAATTGACACTCTAACGTATTTGGAAAGTTAGAATTAGCCTAAAACAGCCGCTGAAAATAAAAAACACAAATAAAGTGATAATTTTACTTCGTAGTTTGTCACTCCAACATAATAAATTACCGAAGAGAAAAATTAAATAAACATAACATTAAAAGACTATACTTTTTTATATTCAACATTCCACATGCTATTGATTACAAAAATTAATTAACAAACGTGTAAAAAAGTCAAATTTGGAGAAAAAAACACTCCACTTTTTTTTTATTTATTTTTTTTTTTTTATTTTTATCTTTGTATTGAACCAAGGTATCTATCAAGAAAACAATGACTAATCTTTGTGTAAGACTCTTTTATGTGTGTACGTATTTTATAAATGTTGATAATATTTTTAGCTTAATTTTCCTATTTTGAGCTTTAATTTATATCAACTTACATTTAACTGAATGATTAATTTATCAATTAAAAAGTAAAATGCAAGCATCTAGGAATTCCGACTATGTGATAAGTTTGCAGAACGTTGGTTAATTAATAGCAATAACATGATGTGGTCCACTGTTGTGTTGTTGTGGAGTTTCCTCATGGCGAGGACTCGTTGGGTGCTTTTTGTTCTCAAATTTTGCTAGGGTGGCTAATTCTTGTATTGACTCTGCTAATCTCTCAGTGCAAGAAACCACATCAACCAACAGAGAAGCCACAGTCAAAACAGGAATAACATCAAAGAGATTGGTCTCTTCCCACAATCCTGTCTTAATAATGGATCTGAGGCTAGTAGCAGCAACCTTAGATTTGGCAATGTGAGTGTCTACAGAAGATGGTGGAATCATGTTATGTATTGCCACTGCTAATTTCTTTAAAGCTTTTCCTGTTTCTGTGCTCATCTTCATGCATGGCTCTTGTATTTTGCTTCTGATTTCTATTAGTGTCTAAAATTAAACATTATAAAATTAAGTCATTTCATTTCAGTAACAATATTTGATACACAATAAAATGTGAGGTCAATTAGTACCTTGGTAGAGTTAAGAAAACCATTAAGAGCATCAATACGATAGGCACACTGTCTTGACAGGTTTCCAATCTTCAAGTATTGTTGCCATGGATGACCATATCTGAAGCCACCATGACAGGGTTCCCACCTCGCAAAATTGGCCTGCAAAAATGATTTAAATATTCTTAATTAAGAAGTAAGACATTGTGATATGGGAAGTGCAGCACCGTCACATAATTTGGGTTTCTCATCCTCACCAAATTTTCTTCAACTTGTTTTGAGTTAAGAACACTTTTATATCCTTGCAAAAACGATTTGTTTGAATCTCCAACCTCTGATGTCCCGAAATATTCCTCTCCAAAACCTGCAATTTTAAGTGCATGATCAACATTGGGCCTAATTCATGTACATAACTCCAAAAGAATGAGCTTAAATTAAGCCAAATTACAAAATTGGAAGATATATGTATTATGTACCTTCTAAAAAATTGCCTAATTTTTCAATATTTTTTGACTCAAGATTATGAAGATCGCCACCGGCCCATACGGGTAACACAAAAATGCTGACTGATATAGAAATTAATCCACCTGTAAGGATTGTGATTACTCTTTTCAGTGCAATGTCTAATATCTCGCAGTCTCTGTAGCTTGAAACAGACACCATGCAAAATGTCAAAATAAACACCAGCAACCCATAATCATATCTCGCTTTCATTTGAGGCAAAAATCGAAAATAGGTGACTCCTGCAGCTGCAATTAATAACTCAAATGTTATCATTATCTAATTAGATTTTTCTTAGTAGTGAAAATGTGAAATTCAATAGGATAAGTAGACATTACTTATTAGAAAAATTAAGGCTCCAAGTAGTATAGGTTCCACTATATGTCCCATTGACATTGAATTCACCATGTAATAAGATCCAAGCCCCATGGCACCAGCTAAAAATGTTGCAAAACCTCTATTAAAACCTTTTCCTAACGTTGCTCCTGCATGTGTCACACAATCAAATTGCTTGTTAGTAAGAAAATCATGTCCACATGGTGTATTATCCTTTGATGCTATATTTGTGTTAATTAAGAAAAAACTTGCCTACGGAGAATTCGGAGACAACAATGACAGTGAAAACTGCCCACATTGCAGATGAACCAAAACCATTGTAAAGAGGCTTAACATAGTAAAATAAAGAAACTAAGGTGATGGCAAGTGCCACTTTCAAAGAATGAACCACCCTTCTTGGATCTTCTTTTCCAACTTTCTTTAGTTGTGACATCGTGTCCATAACTTTAGCACTAAACACGCTAGGCAAGGCCATTAACCATTGCCAACCTTTGGTGACTTCAGAGACCATTTCGTGCAGCTTTAATGAAAGTTGTTCAACCCTTATGAATGCGTTTGATGCCAAGAGCGAAAATGAATTGGGAGTGTGTTTGATAATGTCTTGAAGCCAACACTCTCCCAGTTTTGAAGGGATTCGTTGTCCCATATTGTATTTATAATAGACTAGAGCACACAACCTGGGAATGACACTATGGTTCCAACAAAAGTTGACTTTATATGACTAGTGTAATACTATGTAATATAGTCGATTATTTAAATAATGACGCCTCCACTTGCATGTTCTTCTGTTTCATGAGGCAATTTTATTTGTTCAAACTATGCACTTACATTGCCATTAGTGGGAGTGGGAGGCGTAGTGAGATTTTGATTTTTGAAGGAGGCTAAATACTTCACGAACCATTGTTTAGATATTAAAAATTGAATGTAGAGAAGAGCTTTTTGGTATTCTACTAGTGCTTTCATTGGCATTTTAATAGTGCCATACAACGCCGAGCCACGAGCCACCACGTTTGAAGACGCATATGCCTTTTTAGTTGCCTTTTGCCATATATTCTACGTCCACTAGTGTTATTCATAGCCAACAAAAAATAATTAACCTTCCAAACTGATTTTGTAGGATAAGAACTTCTAATTACACCATGGAAGTAGAAGAACGATATTATAAGTTGAATTATTACACGACTACGTGAACAAGAGATTCTTGGAGCGAAGTAACATTCGTATCTGGAACAACCATCGTTTGTCATGTATTATTCAATTTTGCCCCACGGATGTACTAGGCAAACACAATGTATCAAAGAAAACTTTTCACTTTTCCTATGATAATATCTATTTAGAGTTATGAAAAAATGAGAAAATTTCCTATAATTTTCTTTTTCATATGCACTATTCCTGAATTTGCCTTTAGTTGAAAATTTTCCCGTCAACTAATGCGCTGGCTGTGAAAAGCATTAATTGATCTTAGAGCCTCCATTTTTGTTTATGGCAATTAAAATATTCCAAATTAAAACCCTAAACCAGAGGAGCACGTGCCATATATACAAGCGGAATCAAATTAACCCTCGTGTAGATTTTGAGGAAATCGTGGTTTTGGTTAGTGAAATCGATTTGATCCTGTTGATAGTAATGATGATAACTTTGAAGGGTTTTTCGACGCCTATCACTTATCATGCTTTTCAAATCCCATAGCAATGACCATGTCATCTTCCAATTTCCATTTTCAGTTTTAATTATGTTCTATATTACTTTCCTTTGTGGACTTAATTAACGTGGAAATATTTATTAGAATTAACAAGTTATAAAATTAATGAAAAATATTTTTTAATATAAATAACAATATTGAAGAAAAAATATATTTTGTTAAGTGCTTCACACTTACAAATAAATTTGGAGTGGTCAATTACATTTTAACCTATTTGTATACCTTTTTAAACAGAGTTTGTTAGGTCAAGAAACTTTACTATTTATGATTCTTAGTTACTCTCTAAAGGTTTATCAAAGTACCTTTAAATTAACAAAATCATGGACTAATGGTAGAAAACTTGAGTCCGCCCCAGAAAGCGAGATTTCCTTATCATAATTAAAGTATTAATTTAACATTAGCAACACAGCCATCGTTCTCTACTAATCTTTTTTTTATAAGCGATAGATGTATAATAGTTTTATATAATAGTTTGTATAAAAAAGAGAGAAAAAAGTCTGTAATAAAAGGGTAATGGGACGGAAAGAGATAAATAAAAAACTAGTATCATAAAAATATTATTGTATGATTATATAAAATAACTTTCCTCTTTCTTTTCCTTTATAATCAAACAAAATATATCAAGAACATTTCGAGAATGATTTGGACTAGCAACTTCAACTCAATTTGGGTTTTCATCGTGAATGCACTTTTTTTTACAGACGAATCCGGTTTTGTTGTAAAATACGGGACTATGAAGTATGAACTAAAGACCGCAATTAAAAAATAAATAAATAAAGATGACATTTTTTTTAATGATGACAACGAAACTATAACCTAAAATTTATGTATATATATATATTAAACTCCCCACCACTACTAAACCGACCACAGAAACTGCTTCTAAAAAGAGAGCGAGTTTGGATAAACAAATGTTATGTTGTAAAAATTTAACATATAAGAGAAAAATATTGTTAAAAAAATATTTTTTTATTTTTCATGGTACTATGTTCTTTGTAATATAGTAAATTACTATTTATTATTCAATATTAATATTTTGATTAAAACATAATTATAAATATGAAAGACGTTTTATATTGTAATTTTTTCTTTTGACATGTGAGTTTATCATTATTTATAACTTGTTTTTATATTTGATAAATATTATATTTCTAATCATTTTGAAAATTTTCATTTACATTAAGATTGTTTCCAAAATTATTTATATCTGATTCTCAACTTAATTATTTTAAAATATTCTTTTTTTTTTCTTTTTAAAATATTCCTCTCTAAAGCTTGCAATTAGGGGTGGGTAGATGGACCCGGGTCCGCGGACCGGTCCGTAAGCCCGCGGATTTCGCGGATAACGGACTTGTTTTTTTCAAATCCGTATGATTATGTCTAATTTTTGAGCCCGGCCCGTTAAGTCTGCGGACTTGGCGGATTTAATCCGTGGGCTCGCGGGCTAGTCCACGGACTTCACATTTAATATTTTTAAATATTATGATTTTAATATTAAGTTGTGTATTTAATATTTTAAAATTATTATGACATTAAAATTATGTTTAGTTGGTATATATTTGTCATTTGAATGATTTTTATGACATTTTGATGCTTTTATTATTGAAAGTTTGCTATTATTATTTAAGTATTTGTAATTATTTTTATTTTAATATTTTAATATTTAATATTTTAAACCATTTTAACTATTGATAAATTTTAGCATGATAAAATTTAGCTTATAAATAAAAAATATTTTTTTCTTCTAATTTTATGTATTTTTATTTTTAAAAAATTTATTTTTTTGAACCATTATTTAGGCCCGCGGACCGGTCCGTTATCCGCGGATTTTGGCGGGCCGGATACGGACTTAAAAAATAAGTCCATTTATTTTACGGACCGGACTTATCCGGCCCGTATAAAACGCGGGTTTTACGGACCGGGCCTTAAACGGGCCGGACCGGTCCGTATACCCACCCCTACTTGCAATTATATTGTTTTGATGTCCATTGTCAATTATAAAATATTGGACCCATTTCATACACACGATGATGAAATCATGCCTAGGAGGGCAAGAGGTGATATCTTGAAGGATCCAAGAGGAATGAGCTAGACATGAAGATTTGGGCTAGTCAAAGCCCAATAGGTCCGGTAGGCTTGGAAGGCCCAAGTTGCTTCTCACATGGGCCACACCATTGAGACATCCATTTTCTTCTATGTTGTATATATTATATTAGTATAGATTTTATATGTTTTGGTATTGTATTTTGAACTACTTAGATTAGCATTTTTTGGGGCTATAGGCTTATTGGGCCTGTTTTTTGGCTTTATGGGCCTTTGGGCTTTTGGTACTCAATAATGGGCTCATTTTATTTCTTTTATTATTTCTTAATGTTTGTGACAGGTTGGCCATTGTATTTAGGTCATTAGAATAAGAATATAAAGAGAAAGTTTAATTAAGAAAAGTTAGCTAAAATTAAGGTTACATTTAGGAGTAATTTGAGTTGCATTTGGTGTACATGGGCTAACCCACATGATGCTGCACATGGACCACCCAAATCAACATCAAATTAACTCTAAATGCAACCTTAATGCACATGGAATTAGCTCTTGGACGTGCACATGGGGTTGCCAAGAAATTTGAATTTCAAATCCCATTTGAAATTCAAATTTTTGGCGCCAATTGTGCTCCTTGAGTTGACACCATTATGCTTGCTTCCTTAGCCTATAAATTGCACATTTCAGCACTTTGAATCATAATAGAGATTTCTGAAAATTCATTCAACCAAGTCTCTCAAAAATCCATAGCCTTAGCCTTAGGAATTCTAAGTTCTAAGCTTAGTCCGTGGGCAATCCTTTGAGTTTCTTGCTAGGATACTTCCATCTTAGCCTAGAGATTCATCTATTTCTTGTTCTCAATTTGTATTGCAATCTGGATTCGTTGATCAAGAAAGAAGATCCGCTTGGTGAAAAAGGAAAAGGAAGAACAAGCTTCACTTCACTTGCCTCTTCCCATCACATAACTCCAAAAGAGTGCCCTTAAATTGTTCCAAATTTACAAGATTGGAATATAGGTATATACATGTACCTTTTAAATAGTTGTTTAGTTTTTTAACATTCTTCAATTTAAGGTTGTGAAGTTCACCACCAACCCATATATATGGGACAAACAAAAATGCTGACTGACACAGAAACTAAACCACCCGAGATGATTGTGATTACCCTTTTCAATACAATGTCTAGTATCTCATGGTCTCTATAGCTTGACACAAACAAGATGTCAAATTAAACACCAACAACCTGTAAGCATATCTTGCCTTCATTTGAGGTAAAAATTGAAAATATGTGACTCCTCTAGCTACAATTAATAATTCAAATCTTATTTGTGTCATGTTTTAGCTGTTAGTAAAACTAGCTAGTGAAATTCAATTGGACACGTAGACATTACTTATTATCAGAAAAATTAAGGTTCAAAAAAGTACAGGTCCCACTGTATGTTTTGTTGAAATCGAGTTCACCGGGTAGTAAGATCCAAGTCCCAGAGCACCAGCCAAAAATGTAGCAAAACCTCTATTTAAACTTTTTCCAAGTGTTGCTCCTACATGTATCACACAACCAAATTGCTCGTGAATCAGAAACCAAAAAACCACATAACACATTCTTAATTCTCTCTATATATACTTTTTTTTAATGCTAAATTTGTGTTTTTTTTTTTTGGAGGAAAAAGAAACTTGCTTATGGAGAATTCAGAGAGAACAATGACAGTGAAAATTGTATACATTTTAGAAGAACCAAAATCATTAAAAAGAAGATTCACATAGTAAAATGTG